CGAAGAATACCCGCGTTCGACTTCAAATATTAGCTTGTGAGTGACATTTGTAGGCCGAGGAAGTTAAGTCGTGGCGGTAACCTCGATCAGCAGAGGGTTGGGGGCTCCAACAGTCCTCATACTAATGCTTGACTATTAATATATGTATCGTCTGCGAGCTGTAAATGCCATGAATGACTGGGCTTCTTTTTTAATCTATCATAATCCTGCTGTTCGTTTCTTTTCAATTAATGAGAATAGTATTCGGATTCTTCGCAATAGAAGTGGAATCTCAAAGGAAGAGTATACGATTTCTTCACAATGAAAAAAGAAACACGCGTTCACTGACAAATAAATCAATCATTTACCTACGATTTACCAAATTTATTTTTCCGTACTGAATTATTAACGTACTTGTTCTAGGTATCTTCTACGAAAACGTGGCAAAATCCTTGTCATCATTTCTTCCAATGAACTTTTTTCAATAAATCGATATGTGTGAGGTTGTAACACCCTTACTGGAGCCAAACATCCACAATGCTGCATTTCCATGAAGTTCAATTCTCATCTCCAGGGACGATGTTCTTACTATTTGTTCAAAAAATGAATTTGTCCTATTAGGGATTTAAGTATTGCAATTAAGCTTCGCTGCCGAGGCCATCTTCGGCATATTGATTGAGGAAATCGCTATCATTATACCCTATGATGCTTCGTTTGTTCTTTATTATTTTGCTTCATATTTAGACTCGTGCGTAGATAGAATTCGGATAAAAGATGTTACATTGTTCCATGGAATCGAAGTTTGACTTACCTTAAATTAATTGATTACTTAAAAGTCAATTGATTAACCAACTTCTGCTTACGTATTCATTAATAGTTACGAAAATTGTACCAATTCGTAAGTTATCACACAAGACTGTATGGTTAATAAGCTATTGCTACGAGCTGCACGTCGCTTATTGTCCACTAGAGAAAATTCAAAATATATTTGTGGAAAGCAACATTCAAGGCAGTGGTGCATGCGAGGAGTGTTGCTCAGCTCGGTTCTATATGTAACGCGCAGGGACGTGTAACGCGCAGGGACGTGTAACGCGCAGAGACGTGTAACGCGCAGGGACGTGTAACGCGCAGGGACGTGTAACGCGCAGGGACGTGTAACGCGCAGGGACGTGTAACGCGCAGGGACGTGTAACGCGCAGGGACGTGTAACGCGCAGGGACGTGTAACGCGCAGGGACGTGTAACGCGCAGGGACGTGTAACGCGCAGTGAAGTACACTCAAGACGTTGCTGCATTGCCAGCATATATTAACCCTTGCATATTCTAAAGGAAACCTGTACGTAGTTTCTGTGGTGCACGCCAAGCTGCCGCCACATCGCCTGCATAACGCAGCTGCTGATTCTTACAAGCTTCTTATGCGTCTGCATGATGCGCTTCATAAGCATGCAGCTCAAACAGCTGTAAATGCCCATGTCTAATGTGCTGTAGCGCGCCACCATCAATTCTAACTGCTATTATCTACTTTAGCGCGGTTTTTCAAGGCAATTTTACATCGGATTTTCTGAAGGTTGCATTTAATTTTGCACACTTGCAAATTCATTTTCGTTTTTATTACATTATTTCGTGCACAGTCAGAAAAATATGCTGGAGGATTACGCTTATATTTGCAAAGAACAGATGATTCCAATAAAAACCGGCAATGAACTTTGTCCTCTTACCATAATTCTTTTATTTCTTTGTGTTTTCACTGCTTCTGTGTTTATAAAGAGTAGACAAGAAGTGTCGCATAACACACGCTTCCAAGAGGTTAATTAGCTTTTGACCTGCTCTGACGCTTTCCACCGATCATCGGTCGACCTCTGACTCCATTTAATGATTAATTAAGCTTCTAGCGTTTCTACTTAATCCATTTCTCAGTAACTTCTCAGTTCACCTTCTTGATCCCTTAAAGCCTGATTATTATTTAATTTCCCGCCAAAATGAACTTTGTCATTGATTCATTTTTTTTATGTGCTTCCTCGTAATTTTGGGTTATGAGATCTTGCACATTTTAAAATTGAATATTTTTGCCCCAAATCTCTCGACTTTGCTTTGCGAAAACAAGTCGTAAAAAATGTCGGCGGTTTTGGAGGATATCTTGAAAGAAAATTCCCAATCGTCGTACTTTGATGGTCACGGCTTTGCACAAACTTTGCTTTAGAAGTCGCAACTCAAAATTCAACTGCTAACTTGCTTAAAACGAATATTTTTGATACAATGGGAAAGAAACACTTTAACTTGTAAAATATTTTTAGGTCAATTTGTAGTGGACTCGGCCATCATTATTGTTGTGCAGTTTTGAATTGTTGATTATTCAGCTTTTTCTGTATGTGCCACTTCTTATAGATGTAGTCGCGCATACCTCGTATAGCGATGATTTGTTAGACTGCCAGAGCCCTTCACAAAAATACATAATATTTTGTGTTAGACACTTTTATATTTACTTGAGATTCAATCACAACTGATGAAGGAATCATATCAGCGTTCGTTGAATTATACGTGAACTAACTCACTCGAATACCATAACGATGATGGTGCTGAATTTCATCATAATAAATGGTTAAAAATATATTTCAAGGTTCAAGCAAATGGTTTAAGATTTCTGATAAAATTTGTGGATGTTTTTGCAGCCTCACAAGATTTGAGCTTGACGTAAGTTGCCCTAAAAAGTTTATATAACTTATTCATAAATACATATATTTAATACATATACAAGTTTTGTACTCAGAGTGTATATCGTGTCAAGAATTAATGTAGTTAATGTAACGAACACAAATAATATTCCAAAGCATGTAGCAACGATGTGACACACGTGCTGTTCGTCGTGACTTCGATCAGTCGAGTTCTAAATAATGCATGATATGATCAGCTCTAGTACGAGTCGGTGAACGAGCGATGTTTGATTTTTTCTGACGTCAAGCAATTATTTTCAAAAGTACTTCCGAGAAGGTATTTTCTTGAAGATTAAAAATTTATTTCTTCATTTAATTCTTTGGCTTATTTTGAGCTCTAATTAATTGCGCAATGGAGTTTACCTGACAAGAATAATTAAGTGTTATTTTTAGATGATTTAATTTCATTCGACTTTCCTAATCACAATTTTGTTTGGCATCAATTGTTCAATTGTTGTCAATAGAGATCACATAATTAATCCTAACATTAATATAGGTATCATCTGGATTCTGGACTGTAACGATGTCATCTGTTGTAGTTGAGAAATTTTGTTGCGTTAGTGGAGAATTTCCGTGTTGACATTATCGCCTATGTTGCAATCTACTGCTTGTAGAAGTATTAAAAATAATACGACTTCGATAGCGGCAATTGAGCTCATCGGTATTACGGTCGCGTTTTTAGTTCACGGTTTTGTCAGGAGATTGGACGCGTTGCACCACTTAAAATTTTGACGTTAGATCAGTAATGTCAAGTCTGATTCGAGTATAGCCTGACAATTCACATTTAGTGCTGTATTCGTACAATCATTCTTTAACGCGCTCAGTACGTTACCAATTTAACTGTATACCAATAACGTATGCGCCGGATTTAGCTGTATACCAATAACACAAGCACCTGCTGCTAGATTTTGTCGTCTAGTGCCATCTTGTGTGCACATCCACTTAATGGAATGTTTCCTTCTGTACTTGATTCATAGAACTGTAAAATTCGTCGTTTGTTAGTGGCGCCGAGCGATTTTTTTGGGGGGACTGCTGTCTCAGGTAGTTGTTTCCCGATGAATTGTCTTCTCCTGGCCACATACCTGCTGCATTACTGCTGTATTCTGGGTGAATCCATCTGGGGGTATTCTTGAATCCATCCTACCAAAGTTTTCCATTCTTTCAAGGTTTAAGGAGTGCAAATTTCTTAACATACATGAATGAACAATTTTATCATCCGCAATTTCTATCTTCAATCATTCTATTGTCTATCGTCAGCAAGCAAGTGCTTGCTGTCTTATTATAACAGCAGTTATTAAGTTATTTCGGCAATGAGCACATCCACGAAAAATGTTCTTAGTAGTTATTTTTCCTAGCCGTCCATACGGCAAACGAAATAAAAAATCATCGATGGCTGCCCGCCATTTAGGCAATTCAATGGCCCCCAATATGTTGAGGCCATCAGAAATTGGGGCAAAATAATTGAATGCATAGCATAGATTTGCAGAGTTTTGTCATACCCTAGCTGATCTTTTTATGATTCTTGTCATGCCTCTTGTCATCCTTCTTCTCATGCTCCTTGTCATGCCCCTTGTCATTTGTCATGCCCCTTGTCATGCTTCTTGTCATGAATCTTGTCATGCTTCTTGTCATGTATCTTGTAATGCCTCTTGTCATGCCCCTTGTTATGCTTCTTGTCATGCTTCTTGTCATGAATCTTGTCATGCCTCTTGTCATGCCCCTTGTTATGCTTCTTGTCATGCTTCTTGTCATGTATGTAACTAACTGCCTGCCTGCTATGAATCAGACGATGTTTCTGCGCTTCGAATTAATGTCGCAGAGTCACAAGTCCATGCGATACATCAGAGAGTAGAATTTATGTAGTCTTGTACGAGGCATTGTGCGTATATGAGAACATCATTTCTTATGACTGCGCTGCGCATTGTTCAAGCAAATAATCTGTCGCGCGCCCCGCACGACATGGAGCTTCTTTCTGTATATTTTGTGAGGCACTTAATTGCAGAATGTGGACCAGCGCCAGCTATCTAGTCTCTTAATTCTCCACCTACACAAGTACGAAGAACATGAAAATACTTTGTTTTACGCCACGTTTCTTATATCAGCGTATTATGCTTCTGTTTCATACGTTTTGAAAATGTGCCTCACTTCTGATATGCTCGAAAATAGTGTTTTCTCCTGACATCGTCCCGAGAGTCAATGAAGTTAGGTTTTTTCTAACTAATATGGCTGAAAGAATGGATAACGTTCTTGATTATGGATTAACTATTGCAAGTGACTGAACTAGTTTATGACGCTTGACTTTTCGTTTCAGAACCTCCGCCAGGTCGCATCACGAGACGGAAGTCGGTATTCGCCGAGGCGTACAACCCTGAGGAAGATGATGACGAGGGAGAGCGGGTCAGTAACATTCTTTTGTTCTTCAATAATATATAACAATAATAATAATAGTAATAAATATATTAATAAATGTGTAGATGATGACGAGGGAGAGCGGGTCAGTGACGTTCTTTTGTTCTCCACGTATTAATAAATAGCTAGATAAATGTGTAGATGATGACGAGGGAGAGCGGGTCAGTAACATTCTTTTGTTCTCCACGTATTAATGAATAAATAAATAAATGTATAGATGGGCGAGTTCTAGAGTGTTGGAGTGGCTGACATGACCGCCTGTTATTCCTGAGAATATCAGAATCGCGCAGGGATTTACAGGTCCATTAAGATGGACGAGGGACCACAATATAAGTTTCAATCTTAAGTGTACGTCGAGAAAGGAGAGGTATTCATGTTTATGATTGAAAAATATGGATGTAGTAGTAAGAATTTGGCCTTGGGAGCCAGATATACCATTTACGTTAGATTGATTCTAATTTATTATTACCATAATATGAACTAAGATGAGAAACTAGTTCGCTATAAACATACTTTCATTTACCGCCTTTGAGTGATGCGCTGTGCGAATTTATTCATGAAGCAAACGTTGTATTACAAAAATGTAATACTTAATTTTCATCATGCATGTTTATCACTTCCTTGTACAAACTGTTCGTGTTCAATGAAATACACAGCCCTCATTCCCTGATTTAAGGAAATTAATGTACTCTTTTTTAATCACAATAATTGGAACATTCCAACGCTATTTTTCTTTATCTTTGTGTTATCGTCCTCGCTGGTGCCGAGCGCTTCTGGCGCGTGGCTGCCGTTATGTTTGGCGTCTGCAAACAAAATGTTTACAACATGTGGCTTTTGACCGGCGCAAGCACTGTATTTATCTAGCCTCCTTCTCAGAAGTCTACTGTTTTATTCGCCGGCACCCGAGTTGGGGCATTGCCACGTATACGAATCCAAATTCTTTTCCTTTTCTGTCAAAAATATTATAATTTTTCTTGGAACAAATCCTTTCTAATTTAATTTAGGGAATCTATATTTCAAAATATCTTGCATTTTATGAGGAGAAATTTTTTAAACAAACATTATTATTAAAAAAATTCCCTCAAAAGCCTTCAGAGAAAATGCATCAGGTCAGGCGGGGAACTTGTTTTACAATTTTACGATGTCTGCGGACGTGGCTGTGACGTTCTCCCAGTCTTTTCAGTGCGTATTTACTTCCAATTTCTTCACGACGCCTCCACGGATTCCAAATATTCTATTCATGTTTCGTAGCAATTTCTCGAGAAACCTCCAGTGAAACGACTGCTTTCAACGATTTTATTGGCTCACCTGAATAAACTTATGGGTTTTATTGCTTTTTGGTGCGTTTTGAAGCTTTTCAAGCATGCCGTCACCATGCCAAGCAAGGAGGTATGGAAACAAACAGACTGCAAGGCTGCCGACATTTCGACTTATTGGTTTATCCGCCTGCTTGAAGTTTGAGCTCTGTGAATGCAGTGGATTTTTCATTGCCTGTTAAGACACAAATCTTCTCGAGCTTTCTTTTATCTGAACAGCATTATTTATTTCATTTCTGTTTTTATGCATTTTGCCATTCATGCGAACTGTCGAAGGCGGCGTTCTTTAATGTATAATTATTTTGGGATCGTGCATGGTTAATTTAATTTACGGGCGTCGCGTTGTGTATTTACTCTAAGTATCGAGTTGGGGTTGGTACACATTGCGTATCAAATGTTGCCGTGATGCATAATTATTTCGTATTTATTGAATCTATCTGCTAATGAACAGAATATCATGATCACACTTCCTCAATATACGTACCTGTTTTAGTCACTTTCAATATTGACTACCGTTATTGGATATGGAATAATACTCAGTTGTTCTCATCACCGTATTGTGTTTCATATCGTGCGAACTGCCCAAATTCCGCTAATCTATTTATAGCATCCATCTGCTTCTTACCTGACACATTTATTGATAAATTTGGATATTCGTACGGTAAAAAATATCATTGACGCTCCAATGGAAACTAGTCTTGTGACACGTGGATTAGGTTATACTATTGTGTTTGTAAGAATTCAGTCATTACTATACTATTGTTACTATAATAATTCAGTCATTACTATATGAATTCAGTCATTGCTATATGAATTCAGTCATTACTATATGAATTCAGTCATTACTATATGAATTCAATCATTACTGTAGTTTTGGCCGAGAATGCGTAACAAAAGATTATCGATGCCATGCGGTCATGCGACCGGAGTTTGAAAACGTCTGATTCCGGGGAGAGCTTTCATTCTAGTATTATTCAACTCTACAAGTCATTGGTGACGCAAATTCTAAATAAAATCTAATTTATTTCATCAAGTAGATTGAATTCGAATAAATAATATATGAATTCAGTCATTACTATATGAATTCAGTCATTACTATATGAATTCAGTCATTACTATATGAATTCAGTCATTACTATATGAATTCAGTCACTACTATATGAATTCAGTCATTACTGACTGTACTATTGTTGGCCGAGAATGCGTGACAATAGATTAGCGATGCCATGCGGTCATGCGACCCGAATTTGAAAACTTCAGATTCGGGGGAGAGCTTTTATTCTAGTATTATTCAACTCTACAAATCATTGGTGACGCAAATTCTAAATAAAATCTAATTTATTTCATCAAGTAGATTGAATTCGAATAAATAACAGCAGACATATTGAGAATAAAATCGAAAATGAACATTGTGAACGTGATCTGCTCGTAAAATTGTGGAGCTACGTTAGCTCTGTGTGGAGCGTTGGCTGAGCATCCCTTATTTGCCGTGGAGTTCCTTAGTGATAATGTTTACTGAAACTAGTAAAATGAGTTCTGTCTTACTATGTACAGAAAAATTCAGGAAGGGAGAGTGGAATGATGAGTAAAAATACATTAACTTAATGTATTGTTAATCTTTATAACGTGTTGATTGTTCATTTGTAAGGAACTCCACTCTGATTACTGTATTTTGAGTTTTCTATGATTTATTTTTTGATATTATGTGAAATACGTTGCTATGCACAATCGTGTTACAGATCATCCACGCGAAGTCAGACGAGCAGCGGCAGCGGCTGGGCGAGACGGTGCGCAACATCTTCCTTTTCCGATCTCTGGACCAGGTGAGGCATTTCATTCTTTATAGTTATTTTATTTTTTTTATTTATTACTTATTATTTTATTAATTTTTTTTACTGTGGATGATCATAACCCGCTGTCTTCATATTTTATATGCGTTTAAGTCATCATGTAATCATCATATCATTGATGATTACATGATTATCCTCATGACAATGAGGAGGGCAATTTTCTAATTGATTGTTTTTCAATTGTATACGCTACATTTTCAGTGTGGGATTCTCGCGCCATTTTCATAAAACTGTTCGATCTAAACTTTTCATTGAATTCTTAGTTCTTACATGTGTACGAAATCCTTATTTTGCGGTTCTTTTTATTTCACTTGTATTATTCTCAAACTTTACATTAAACATTATCCACAATTTTTCATCCCTTTGTGTGTATGCATTCAGAGCGAAGGACGACCGCGCTATTGCTAAAATACGAGTGTTACTTTGAGAGAAACATTGTCAATTTAACATGCATTTTTATTTGTTCTTTTTAGAAGTTGAACATACAGATGTATATTTTTATAGAAGGCTTATCAAAAGATTAAATGAATTGGATAATGTTTTAAATTAAGTTCGCATGTTTAGGCTCATCGTTGCTTCAAAAGCTATGATGCATTGTGATTGACTTATTCTAGCATAAAGTAATATTGTTCATGAATAATTTACTTTTTTTTAAATCAGATTTTTCTCAAGTGATGAGATATACTCATTAATTCATTTTGATATTGCAATCGCGTAGGAGAATTTTTAAGGCATATGCTTCGCGTTGGTGATTCCTAAACAAGTTCTTGGATTTTTTTCCAGGTTGGAAATAAATCGCTCGCTTTGGAATTTCATTTGCAGTTTCGCTAAAAATTTGTGACCGAGGAATGGCCTAATACATTTCTATTGCAATTTTGAGAGTACAATTCATGAAGCAATTTCGTGGGATCTTTGGTTATTTAAATTTACGCTGAGCGTGGTGCCTTTCTTGTTCACTAATTTTTTCTTACTGTTTGAATCTTAAAAAAGATTACATAGTGGACACATTATATTATCAGAATAGAAGTGAGCGCAACATAACTTTTTAGAATATTCTATGTTTTTCCTGTGCATTTCTTTTTTTCCTATGGTCTACTTATTGAAGAACATTTTCTCATTTCGAGTTAAAAGTTTGACTAAAAAGGTAACATTCTCGAATCAATCTCGAGTCACATTTTATAGTTTCGTTTGTTTCCTGGTTTACATGTTCTTCTATTTTCATACTCTGTCTTTACATACTCTAGAACCTATTCTGCAATATGCCCAACAATAATCATAATTTCCGGACTTTTATCTGGTTTTAAGATTCTCGATTGCTGTGCCAACTTTATTTTATTTCCAATGCTTTTTAAAGAGTTTTGTGTTTTCGTCAATACTGCAGCCTATGGACAAGCGCGTAGATGTAAGTGCTTAATAGCGTCCATAGATACATGTACGTGCTAAATATATTGTATTTTTTTTCGCCTCCCCCAAATGGTGTGAATAAACAACAAATCTCCAGTTATAATTACCTGCTAATTTAGTAGTCCTTAATTGAAAAAAAAACTTTGATCAATAGACTCTTCTTTTTCCGGATGATCTCTTCTGTCAAGCGGGAGGGCGAAATTAAGTTTGACAACACCAAGTTATCAGGCTGTAAGATTTTTAATTCATTCAATTCTTTTTTGACGCCGACGTTTCAAATTATGATGTGTTTTTATATTCTTTCAATTTTTCACTTGAAATCCATTGCCACGCAGCGTGAGAATATGTTTTTGTGATCATTTCGATTAATTTTAACTCATCTATCAAGGTATTGAAGTTTCATATGTGTGTATGATTGAATCGTTTGAATTAACATCATACTCTCTAACAGGAAGATACAGACAAAAAAAAAATCAGTGAAATTCTCCGCAGTTTTGCGTGAAGACAAGTCGCGGACTTAATTACGATAGCCTTTGACTTTTTTTGTGTCTTATTAATGAGTTATTCTGAAGCATCTTGTTTTCCCTTAAATAACTGTGCATTCTCCTGTAATTAAAATGTTTATCCCATCCGTCATACCTTCATTTATTAATATTCCCTGACTCTAGATCCACGAAATATACTTCCATCACGGCTGTTGTCTGGCGTGAGATAATGACCTGACACAAGACCGTAATTTCCCGATAATTGCAGCTATTAATTTATTGGTTCCCTTCTATTGTTCCATTTCCCCCAGTCCAGGATGTGGCTCTTCTTCATTGGTACATTTTTGTCTCGATGAAAACGGTAACAATTTATCATGCTTGCTTGTTATATAAACCTATCGCAACCATGTTATTTTGGTAGATTCTCAAAGAGGGTTAACTGATGGTGGTGGTAACAGACGTTGATGGCTTATTATTCAGATGCTTAAGTTTCCTCATCTGATCGTGTTCTCTCTGTCGAGAGTCAACTGGTTATTTGAATTTAGTTCAATGCTTAACCCTCTACCGCCTGACGTGAGTAACCGTAGCAATATTGTCACAAGCCTACTTCCCAAAAAGGATATACGTTCTGGTGAGCGCAAAATGACTTGCACTGTTGGTTGCCGCCACGTACGACAACTTTATAATGTTCTCTGTTGCATACAAACGTCCTCAGGTTGCTACAAACAATAGTAGTTTATGTATAATTGTATGTTCAGGAAGAGTGAAACACGGCGGTAGAGGGTTAAAGTGTTCATTAATGTTTCAAAACTTGCTCAATGTGAAAACATGGAACAGAATAATCTCAGTAAATATATTCACTGTTTGTTGTAATCCAACTCTTTCATTTTTGTTCTGTTTCATGTAATTTGGACAACACTTTACAACATTTACCATCTTATTTAGGTACCCGAATTGTAGGATCTATTATTACTATCGTGCACGTTTCCACGTACTCTTACAATGTACGATTAAACTGATACCCGTACACCTAGATACCGCAATAGCTATACTTTTTTTTATTCGCTGCTGCAACAACGCCGAAATCTTCTTTGTGGCGTTAAGTGAGATCACACGGCTGTGTGGACCATCTGTATTTGCGAATAATCCTAAAACACTTTGCCCAGTAAATCGGATGGAAGATTTGACTGGTTTACGTTATATAAAGCGTTTTCAGGGAATGAAGCTACGCAGCGTTTTTTTATTCTATTAAGAATTACTACATCATTTCAACTGATCATTAAAATGAGTCATATCCAACGAGCTAAAAGATTATTGCAAGTAATTGAAGATTGTAAGATATCGTAGTGGCTGACGGTAGATTTTTTCGACAGGAGCAAGTGGGCGAAGTGCTGGACGCCATGTTCGAGAAGCGCGTTGAGGTCGGTGACTGCGTCATCAAGCAGGACGATGACGGTGACAACTTCTACGTCATCGAGAGGTGGGACTGTGTACTTTAACTCTTGTAATATGCATTTGTATAAATGTACTTGAAACATTAAAACGTACCTCTGCTCGCTGAAATCTCTGAAGTTGAACCGATACAAAGGTGCATGAAACATAAAAAAATATAACTCAGTACTCACTGCAGTGAGTGACAGAGAGCGCATTTTCTCGTCGACGAAAACGTGAAATCGCGGACGGACAGGCAAACGTACATGGCGAGCACAATAGTACATTTTTTCCATAAATGAGAAAATGCGCTAAATAGTATGGTGCGCCATGACTTACACGAGCGTATTGGGATAGTTGTAATTAATACCTGTTTAGCCTTATGAAATATTAGTTCATTAAACTACGAAGCAAACAAACGTAATTACTGGCAGTGTTTCTGTTATGGCTGCACTGATTAGCGATATCTACTCACGGAAAATCGAGTTTTGCGAAAATCGACCTCTTGGTTGTTGACGTTGTACTTGTACAAATTCATTACATGCTTTCTATGGAGGGAACAAATCTCTCATTGAATAAAAATGCAACTCTAGCATTCATCGTATGATTTTGATTGAATCAGCGTTGATCACTTATCATTCGCTGAATCTGTGTATGACTGAATCAGTGTTACGTTGCCGAAATGCATGCAACGGTCAATGTCGTTTTCATGGTCTTATTTTGCTGTAGATTTTTAGTAATGTGTAAGTGAAATTCATGAAATCAAACGCCCTGGGAGGAGAGGGTTATCATCAATCATCCCTGCCATGTCGTATTAGTATATTCTTTGTATGTAGATGCAGTTTTTATATCGAGCTTATCCGCTGATAATGACGAATCGACGAGGCGATTCAGAAGTTTTGCTCGATACGATAGTCAAATTAGGAGAAAAAGTAAAATGAATTATTGCGGTTTCTGATTGATTTACATCGTTTCCAGAAACAAAAGTTAATTTACGTCGCTATCTACCATTTATTTTACCGACTTTGAATCTGCGCGTCCATTTATTGACCACCAAAATCGGATCGCTGCTTCTACATTTTCCTCAGCTCAGTGTTGTGCTGTATGCGACTACGCATAGCAAGGAATTTAAAAGTAAAGAAAACACCAAGCAAATTCACCATGTCGATATTGAAAACGTTTCAATATCGATATGGTGAATTTGCTTGGTGTTTTCGTTGCTTTTAAATTCCTTGTGAACGATATAAGCAGACTGATAATATAAGTACGCGTTGCAAGTTTGAGCTGACAGGGCTTCCCTCTCAGCACATGAGCGGCAGTTGAGCTCCTAACCGCCCATTTCCTACCCCCGCTCTTTTAGGGAACATCGCGCCGCAACTGCCGTGCCTCAGCCTGCCTGCGCTTGTTTGCTTGTACCGCTCGTCGCTGTATAATTTTTATTATTAATCAGTCACGGGATGAAGAACAGCAGTGATTAATTAATACTTTGTTAGTTCAACCGTCACAGATTGGGCAAGTATAATAACTATTTTGCCCAATTTAGCGAGTTTAGCGAGTTTAGCCTTGCGAATGAAAATGAACTACTATTCGAGGTTCATGAAGCTGACATGATTTGTCCTCGCTCTTGATGGTCGCGTTGTCGCCATCAAGCCTACCGCGATGCTCAAGTTAACTGTTATGCAATATATTGAATAAAACATGAATTATTGCAGTTAAATTAATGTATTTCAATTATAGTATCTCATTGATAGAAGAGAATAGAAGTTTCGACATTGAAGAAAATAGGCCCATGGCCTGTTGCCGATTCTTGAACTTTTCGTGACTTGATTCACAAGGGATCCGGACTTTGGAACCCGATCTGTCCATAACTGACGATTGATTGAGATAGCTGCTGTACTTATTGCCTGGTCCGTAATTTGCTAGGCATTTTAAGACTGAACATATGCTCCTGCATAGCTTCGTCTAGTCTTATTGCCTGGTCCGTAATTTGCTAGGCATTTTAAGACTGAACATATGCTCCTGCATAGTTTCGTCCAGTCTGTTTTTAAAGGCGTTCATACTCGGAGCGTCAACGTATTTCTCACGAACACACAATTCTAAAATGTCGATTATTTTATCTCATAAACAGACGGTTATAATATTTCAGTAGTTGCATCGCTTTAAATCCTTTAATTCTGAAAGAAGCCAGTCTCATGACATTTATGGTCGTCTGAATCCACTCCTGAAAGAGGTAATAAGCTTATCCACGAAGTTATACACGAAAAATGTTTCGTCGCGCTAACGCAACCATTTTTCTTCCATTTCTATCTGAAAATGGTTCCAGCTTCTATGGAGACTGACTTAAATCATTTGAAGCTATTTAGATAATTGAGTTTACTGCAGGTTTTTAGACAAGTGACGACAATTATTGAAGAAAATTTCCATACAACTAGACACGCTTGATCTAAGGCTACGGGTTAGGTAATAGATTTTTTCAGGATATTGTGGACGAATCTTATCTTAATTTATTTGTGTGCAGCGGATGCTTCGACATTTTCGTGAAACAAGAGGGCGGACAAGATCGTTTGGTGGGCAAGTATGAGCACTCTGGGTCGTTCGGAGAGCTCGCCCTCATGTACAACCAGCCCCGCGCTGCAACCATCAAGGCCACCACCCCGGGGGCGCTATGGGCTATGGAACGCACCACCTTCCGCCGCATTCTCCTCAAATCCGCCTGCAAGAAGCGCAAAATGTACCAGGGCCTCCTCGAGAAAGTCCCCATGCTTAAGAGCTTGGAGGTAACATGAATACTTGACTAATTACTTATAACGTATATATGATTACGTTACATAGCAGCGAGTGTTCTAACAATTATTATGTTGGGTGGGAGTGAGTGTTATAACCATGATTATTTTGTACGAAGGAAGTGTTATAGCAATGATTTCGTTACATAGAAGCGAACGTAATAACAATGATCGTTATCTGAAAGCTAGTGTTCTAATAACGATGTTGGATTGAAGATCTATGCCATACCTTCAAATATTTTACCTCAATTTTTGATGGCCTCAACATATTTGGGACCACTGAATTGCCCATGGCGGGCTGCCTTAGATGATTTTACTTCCTTCTCTACATCAGCTGTACGAGCACCTGAACCCTTATTTCCTTCTCTACGTCAGCTGTACGAGCACATGAACCCTTATTTCCTTCTCTACGTCAGCTGTACGAGCACCTGAACCCTTATTTCCTTCTCTACGTCAGCTGTACGAGCGCCTGAACCCTTATTTCCTTCTCTACGTCAGCTGTACGAGCGCCTGAACCCTT